AGCACGTACGCCATGATGTCTGCAGGAACAGAGTCGAGGCCGCACTCTGGAATGATGATGGTCTTGTTCTTTTGGGCAAGCGCATCATACTTTGCAATCATGTCGTAGATCCAGGGCACCTCGCCCGTTGAGTCGAGGTAGTGCGTGCCGTTGTTAACGCAGGCGGCAAGGACGGGCTCGCCATAGTGCATAAATGGGCCTACAGTTGTGATTACGAGTGTAGTCTTTTTGGCAAGTGCGTCGAGTTGGGATTGCTCGAGCTCGCAGGTTTCGATGGCTGGGCAATCGTCAGTTTTCTTTTCTTTTCTTTTTCCTTCTCTCCGTCACATGGTTTTTTTGTCACCACGGAACATTTTCGTCACGTACCTGGCTCTTTGCGATCGGGCCTCAGTTCGGACAATTCCTTGACAACACCCTGTAGCTTCTTTGCATTGCGTCCCGCGATGGCCCACCTGAGGTCATCAGGCAGATGTGTCGTGATCCATTCGGCGACGAGTTTGCCCGTGTATCCAGTGGCTCCCAGGAGCACCAACTCGTACTGGCGCGACTCTTGAGCCATTGTGCTGTAAAATTTATTTACTTTTTTTTGGCTTCGAAACAGGAAAGTTGAATGGATAAATGATGGGAATGAAGTGGTGGAGGGAGGTGGTGTTATATCAACAGGAGCAAATTTCACATTCACGACGACTACTGTCATCGGACATGACCCTTCTTTTGGTACTCTCTGAGGTCATGCCGAGGTAACCAGGCGCCGGCATGGGCGATGTCATCCCTTTTTTCGCAGCGCATTCTTCTCAACAGTACGACGCAAGCAACGAATGCGATGTCCTGTGTGAATATACCAAAGTCTAGCGACGCGATGCACGATATGGCTGTGTGCAGGACTGCTCGAAAAAGGGTAAGCTGAGGGGTGTGTCCAAGTGTACCTGGCAACAATGGTCCATGTCACAAGCGGTTAGTGGGCTTGGCACACAGATGTTGGAATCGAAGAATACCCCTCCGAATCGACGGGCAGCAAAATTCTCCTCACCGCTGTCCATCTTCTTCTTCTCCACCAGGGTTGTCACGATTCCGATTGTGTGTCAAACAAGATTTTGCGGCTTTTGCGCTTGTTCTTACCGGATTGGCTGCAGCGCATACAAAGAGAGCTGGGTAACCTGGTCAGCAAGCGCGGTTGGTGGAGACTAGAAGATGTTTTTTTCGATTCAACAACCACCCATTGCCTTGCTGTGTCGCTAACTTGACGGCCATGTGTAGGGCAGCTAGAATGGATCTAGTGTGCGATTTTGAGTGGCTGCCTGCAGGCTTCACATTGTTCGTGTTGCGCAAGACGATAGCTGTAGAAATATAGTAAGAGCCACGCGTTCAACTTTATCGTCTGCGGAGAGAGAGAGATACATGCGCACAAAGGCTATCGAACGCGAATCTCCCCGAACATGATGATAAAAAGATAATGATTGGCAGTACCGGCACCTGCCCGATTTTCGCATCGCACTCGTACGTGTTTTGCATGTTGCATGGGCTGGCATTGACAGTTCTGCGGAGAATGTACCTGAGACGGCATCACGATACTAAGTATGCACCAAGGACTGGGCATAGCTGCGGTAGCTTCCGCTGTCTTATCTGCACACCTCGAGTGGCCATCCGGCATCCAGAATAGGTCATCAGACTCGAAAGGTTATTATCAATGTCGTCTGCCGTATCACCTTCCCCTTGCAAGACTGCGTATGCACATTGGGAAGACTCTAGTACCACCCTGGACATAGTAGTCGGGACCCATAACAGAAGCACTTTAAGGCCCCGGTGCTACATCTGGAGAAGCGAGCGCAGCATAGCAGAGCGGCCTGGCTGAAACATGTTTGTCTTTCCGACTCACCACTGAGCGACGCGGGCAAGTCACATGTGCACACCCGCGCAGGGTAGCTGGACACGTAGTGAGGTACAGTAAGGAACTCTGAAGACTGACTGAGCTTGTAGGGCTGCGGCAATTGGGCAGGCTGACGGCATATACATAGAATACGATCAGACGGTACGGACCCAAACTGGACTCTGTACCCACTTAGTGCCCCTCCCCCAAGCACCTGTCACGAGTTTCCGGGGTTGGCGCGACTGCCTGTCGAGTGTGGCTGCTGCAGGGTAGTGAATGATCAATGATCCGCCGGCCAAGCCACTAGCGTCCGCGTACTTAAACCACGGTCCCCGCTCTGTCTACCTGACCATCTTCCCAACTTATGAATCGCGTCGACGAGTACATTCGTTCCTTTACTTCGAAACACGACACCAATGGCCGAGACGTGCATAGTCTGCCTCGGCGATCTCGTCCCCCGAGACGACGGCCCTACCGCCACCGTACCACCGCTCGCGACCAACTCCCTTGAGAATAGTGCTGATGTCCCAGCCGGACTCCAACACGATGCCAAGAACAAAGACGTGGTCGTATCCTCTGTCAAGGACGAGGACATGGTAGCACATTTGCTTCCATGTGGCCACGACCTGCACAATGACTGCCTCAAGCCTTGGGTCGAGCGAGCGAACAGCTGCCCTATATGCCGAGCCAGTTTCAACATGGTCGAGCTCAGCGCATGCGTTGGAGGTATGTTTGTCCTGGATACTATGGAGCTCTGCAGTCATGACGTTGTTTTCGTTGCCTGGTAGTAGCCTGGCTACTGGCTAAATGGTCAGTCGAGCACAACACAACTTCTGCCCATCCTTATGCTATTGCGCCGCATCACATGGATTCGAAACGACGAATTGCCGGCTGACATTTGTATAGGCCCTAAGATTTCCGAATATACCGTCCAGGACAAGCAGCAAGTCGCAGACATCGATCCATCCATGATCATCGAGGAGGACTATACCCTCGAGGATGATGGGAGTTATGATGCATGTATGGTCTGCGATGAGTTTGGTGACGCGTCACAACTCATGTACTGCCACAGCTGTGAGCAACTATGCCATGTCTTCTGCGCCGGGCTTGACCGGATGCCCTCGCGTGGCCCCTGGTACTGTCAGGGCTGTGTCGAGAACCCCAGTTTGCTCGAGGCTGCATCCAGACGACGACCTGCTATCCGAGGCCCTGCTGCCTGGATTAATGGTAGAAGCCGTGTGCCCCGCCACAATCAAGCCCCTGATGAATGGGTAGGAGTCTGGCAAAGCGTTTGGGACCGCCTACAGTTCGACATTGAATTTCCCTTTGACGAAGAAGAGCAGTCTGAGAACCAGTCTGACGTTACGCGCCGCGAGGATCGCAGATGGGAGGAACGCATGCGGGTAGCGCGGCGGGCAGGAGCAGGCAATCGATTCCAGATGGTCACTGATAACGTTGTCACTGGCAGACGCCGCAACTCCAACCTAACAGCACAACCCATCAACCGAACACTACATCGCGACCCGCCAAAGACGCCAAAAGATCCCGAATCACAGGAAGAATTACGCGCGTGGAACCAGTTCGAGAAGGCTCGCGAACAACTCGCCCAGGCCGAGGCACAACCTGCACCTAGTGTGGCGAGCACAAGCAGTCGACGGGCACGCAAGCGGAAGTCTATTGATTCTTCTGCAGAGTCGGAGCCTCGCGAGCAGAAGCCAGAGCGCAAGCTGAAGCGTCCTCGGACACGTATGCATGTGGACAATGGTGAGTCGTCAGCGGCGGCGGCTCGTCGCAATGCCGCTGCGCATGCGCCTGCAGCTGCTGTGGCATCATCGCCACCAGCTGCAAATGGCGAATCATCTGCCCCTGCTCCTGGCTTCTTGCAATCTCTCTTGCAAGAAGTCGAGGTGGATCGGTTTGCCGAGCGCGATAAGGAGATTGCCGCCCCTCAGCCTCGGCGCATCATTGTTGAGCGTGCTTGCTCGCCACAGCACTCATCACCAGGACTGTCTCCCGTCTATCATACGCTCCCTGGCATGACGACACCGCCACCTTTGAATCTTACTCGCACTGCGTCACCTGCGCAAAAAGAGGCCCAACTGTCACCCACTTACTCACCATACTCGCCCGCAGACGATGATCGCGCTGGTCGCCGTAAGCTCGCGCATCGCTCTGTTGGTCTTAGCAGCCCGCCCCGCTCCAAGGATTCGTCACCTATCCGTCCATCACTTTCCTATTCGACCAAGGCTGAACTGCAGCGCATGGTAACTGCAGTCTTGAAGCCGTTGTACCTAAAAAAGGAAGTTTCAAAACAGGAATACACAGACGTGAATCGCGATGTATCACGCTTGCTGTATGAAAAGGTTGGCGAGGCGGGCGCGGATGCGCTTGCTGACCAAGATACTCGGGAAAAGTGGCAGAAGATGGCTAGCAGCGAGGTGCACAGTGCTATCAAGGCATTGCCACGCAACCAGGCTGGAGCACTTTCGCCTGCTGCCGAAGACTCTGCTTCATCGTCTGGGTAAGGAGTTGTTATAATTATTATTATTATAATTATTTTATCGTTACTACTGCTACTGCTATTTTTATTTCCACTGCGCTGGAAGAGGGCGTGGGGGAGGGGGGGTTCTTTTTTGTCCTAACTGGCGCACCATGACGGTGTGTCATGGGGAAGTGGGGTTTAGTCCAAAGCGAGGTCTCATGATACCACTGGGTTTTTGACTTGATTTGTGCTCTTGCTTTTCTTTTGGCATGCATGGCGTTTATTCGGTAGTAAGCGTAGTAGATATGATGTAGTCGTTTTTTTTCTCTCCCCTTCCTTCCTTGCGTCGAGAACGCAAATGAATATTATTTGAGGTGCGGCAAAACATTTGCCAGTAATCACTTTGTGCATGCAGTTTTGGTTCTAGCTACGAGGTGATGTTATGCATATATTTCGTTGAATGAAGGGGTTGGACTTGCTTGATGCAATTCCAGCAGAGCATTGCACATCTTTTCTCTCGTGCACATGTCATGTTTGACTTGCTTTGTGATTTGTTATGGCTAGCTCACAGTTTAATGGTATTCTTCCTTTTCGTTCTCAGGTCTTGATTGCTGAAACGCGTACTCACATCCATCCTCTCCTTTGTTTCTCTTAGTACTCGTTCCTCCGGTACTCATTCTCCCCATAGCCCTGTTGCTGGTATCCCTGCTGTTGATATCCATGTTGCTGGTGTCCCTGCTCTTGATATCCCTGTTGCGGATACCCCTGTTGATAGCTTTGGTATTGCTGTTGTTGCTGTTGTGGCGGTGGAGGATAATTTCCACCCTGGTACTGTGGTGGAGGTGGTGATTGCTGGTGATACGATTGGGGCGGAGGAGCATACTGCTGGTCTGGTCTATACTCTTGATGCTGTGAAGCAGGAGGATGAGGAGGTCTTTGTTCGTATGCCGCACCACCCCCACCTATGTTCTGCTGCACAGGGCTCCCCACGCTGACATTCTCGTTGCCAATGTCGTCTGGCACGCTGATTTTGACGTCGGGGAGGTACCGCTGGACTTTTTGCTCCACCATGGACTGCACAAACACCCAGCTTTCGCGCTCGAAGCGACGGTGACCACCGTTGACGACGCCGAGAATGCTCTCGCGGAGTGTCTCTTGCACTTTGCGGACAAGATCGCGGATCTTGCCGAGGAGCTTGGCTTTGATGTCGTCGCCAAAGCCGCGGTCTGCATTGGGTTCTGCGTCGCGGTCGAGCTGCGAGTCGAACGGGTTACCACCGAGGATTTTCTCCAGCGGCCGCTGGAACTGGTCGGGCAAGAGTTCGAAAAGCTGTTTTTCGATTTGTCCAAGTACCTTGCGGAACTCGAGGCGTACTTCTCGATGTACCTTTGCTAGTCCTGTGCTCAGTTTGTCGCTGATGACGCGTGAGAAGCCACCTCCACTACCGCCGTTGTCGCCATCGCGACTCGACTCGTCGAAGCCTCTAGCAGATCCTTCGTTTCCGCTCTTCTTGTTACCGAAGAGGCTCCCAAGACCCTTGACCAAGTCGCCTACTTGCTCTGCGATCTCGGCTTTTGCACCTTCACCCAGGTCCCTCGAGCTGGTGTTTCCACGCAGCCAGCGCTTGATATGGTCCAGCGCAATACGGGTGAATTGCTCAGCAATAGGCGCATGCTGCGATCGCAACTTTTCACCCACCACCTGCTTGATCTCAGGGCTGATAAGTCTAGCCTTTTCTTCTGGGTTTTGCGACGCCTCTTTGATAGTGTTGGACAGCATGCCGAGGAGACCTCCGATTTCGAATCCTTGACCACCTCCACCGCCATTAGACCCATTCCGGTTTTCCAAACTACCCTGCACTACGTTCAGGGCCGAGGACAAGAACCCCCTTGCTCCAGATGAAAAATCCACATCTTGAGATCGGGCTTGATCCGGCGCCCCTCGATTGCTATTTCCCTGGGTGAGTGCAAATATTTCACGCAAATCCCCACCTGCCTCATCAGAAATCTGTCCAAAGCTGCGGGTCAACTTTGCTATTTCGTCTGCAAATGGCAGTGACTGTCCGCCGTACGCATCAGGTGCTGCATCACTGAGATTCCACGGGCCGCCCGACGATGAGCCACGATTGCCATGTCCAGAAGGTGAGTCTTGATTGAAAAGGGAGCGAAAGGCATCCACGACTTGTGTTTCGAGGCTATCGATTGTTTTTTGTTGGAAATCTTCTAGTTCAGACGCAATGCGGGGTTGGATCTGGGGCGCCAGCGAGTCAACGTATTCGTCGACCTTTTGCATCAGGACTTCGGGGAGGCCACGAGAAGACATTCTGAAAAAAAAGGAAGAACGCTAGTGTCTTCTTAGGTATATGTTCATAGAGTCTTTGAGGAGCGATTAATGAGGCGATGTTGATGATGTAGGTGGGGACAAAAAGATAGGAGTGGAGAGGCTGCACGAAACGTGGCTGGGGACAAGTGGCGCTGTCATAGGTGGGCAGGAAGAATGACGTTGTTACACAGGGTTAAGTGCTAATACTTCTCTAAGCTCGATCTAGGTTAGAGCAAGTAGAATAACGTAACTGGACAGCGCATGGGCTCTCGCTCATAGGATTGGTTCGCGACATAGCGTCTGCTTGGCTCTTGGCGAGTCTCCAGTATTTACATATTTCTTATATCGCGTGAGGTTCAATCTCCGAGATGCAGTAGACTGAAATATTGGCTATGAAGCCTGTTCACGAGCATGAATCAACACTGCTCAACCCGGGAGCCGAGTATGGCAATTTGCCATTCGACCAATTTGTCCTAGTCAGTGTATTCACTTTATTTCTGTCTGCCATCTACTAACGCGATATGCAAAGACTAATTGGGATGTCGATAAAGCGGAAGAGAACGATCAGGAGCAGTGGAACGACCTTGCTTCCAGATGGCTGTCGATGAACCATATTAATCGCAGTGTGGGTGCCTTGTTCACGACGAACTGCATAAAGTACTGCAAAATGTGCTAAACTAAGATTTGCGTTAGCCATACTGGAGAATGTGCAGTCACACGGATAGTCCTCCTCCCGATGCGCCATATCTGCCACCGTAATCGCGAGTTCAGCGTATATTGGCTCCCCACCAGACGATCACCGAGCGCAATCTAACCCAGAAATTCCTGAGCCGTGTCCCTTACCCAATCTGGATCCGTACTTGTTATGCGGTTAAACTTGACACTGCTTACCAGGAAATGTTCGAGTGCGGTCAAGCAGACTTTGGGCCGGAGATTGTTCTTGAGGACGAGAGTCTTTATGGTCAATATGGGCACGACTGGACAAGGGTTTTCCTGCGTCTACCTCAACTCATAGACATTGTCGTCCATTACAACGATGGGCACCCGGAGAATGACGAAAGCCAGCTTGCAGTCTCACCACCAAACGATGAGGCGAGACTGCCGTTGTACAACGCAGTCATGAAGTCCAAATCTATTCACTTCCTTTTTGACGAGGAGGCACTGCAAGAAAAATTGGTCAAGGTGCACTTTCTCGACATTCATGGACAGTCGGTTTGGTACAACAAAATCAGGCCAGAGCACATCCGAGATTTTGAAGCAAGTCCTAGCGGAGGCCATCTGTCAGGGCACCTCGAGAACTGCGGGGGTGATCCCTCTTCATTGCATCCAGGAACGTTACTGTATGCTGAGGGATGGAACATCGTTCCGATAATTCGTGTACAGAGAACAACCCTATGAATTTGCGCAATCTTGGTATCCCACACTCTTCCCGCAGTTCCTCGGTAACTCAGTCAGCATTACTAGGGTACGGTGGAAAGAAAGTGCTTGGGAAGGTTGTGCTAGGCAGTGGATCTCCGGTTGTCTCGGACTCGCAATACCTCTCGAGTAGCACGAAACACTGGTAGTAAAATGTGTAAGCCAGGCTTCTTCTCATTGGCAATTGACCACGAAATGCACGCCAATGTAGGCGATGGATCTTCGAGCGTCCATTGTCCTAAAGGCAAATTCCAACACGTATGCTGCCCTACCAAAGCTATGCCGAAGATTTGCGAATGGATCGGTGCTCCAGAACGGAGCGTTTTCGGTTGCAGTGGTGAATGCGGCAAATCGCAATTCGGACTAAACCAGAACACCTATATCGACCCACTCGGGAAAGCATCGTGTATATTTGGCACTCGTAAGCTTTGTTGCGACTCTACCCCAATCGTATATAAATGCGACTGGACTGGATGCGATTGGACTGCGGACGAAAACCGGCATTGCTCATCTGATGAGGTCAGTGTTGCGACACGGTATGATCAAAATGATGGAGACACCTGAAAAACTCAAACAGGTATGCGCAACGACGGTCAAGGTGGTACCAAGACGCATCAGCATTTCAGATCCTTCTGTTGCCCGAAAGACGACCCCTTCGAGAACTGCCAATGGCCCAATGACCCTGATCACTTCATGGCAAAATACCAATCTCCAGTCTCTCAATATGCAAATTCCAAGGAAGACTATTGCAAAGAGATTGGCATTTTCCGCAGCAAGCATTGCTTGGACGGGCGACTGATGGTTACACAAGCTCAAACCACGCCACCAAACCTTGGGCTTGACAATGAAATGTCCGTCTGTTGGTTAGGCGATGGGCTCTCTCTGGATAACACACTTTGTTGCTCGCCTCCATCACGATTGACGAAGGATTGGCCAGTGAACCCCGCCTACCTTTGGAGCGATGCGTACGATGACAAGAATGACAAGAATGACGGTGTCACCTGGCAATGGTCCAATAACTTTGATAACAATCACAAAGACACGACCCCGGACAATCTGGGAGTCGACTATGGTGACGACCCATACGGATTTGTCATGCTAGACGGGCCCCCTGGATCGATTGCCAAACAGTTCGGCAAGCAATTCACCTTTTTGACCGACGAGGAGCCGAAGAAGATAGTCTCGCGGACATTTGTTACGACAAACCAGTCAGTCATTGATGCCACCTTCGATCACACTAATGTATTGCCACTAACAGCAGGATTGTAGATATACTCGACAACTAACACCTGTATGGGTAGATACTATATATAGCAGGAGTCTTGCGTTGGCATAACGCATAACAAAGAGAGCGCCTTACTGACACATGGGCAACATAGACACTCTCCTAGCATGCTAGAGGTGGGGGCACCTAGCGTGTCAATGGGATTGTCGCCTTCTTGATTGCGCAACAACGACTCACCTTCCTACAATAGCGCTTTGGCATCAGCGCCTTCCTGGTCAAATTCCTGATTTGGAGTCTAGCCGTCTAGACTATCCGGACCGTAGTCAATGGGAGTGATGCCATTTCCTCAACCATTGTTTCTATCGTCTCTCTACTATCGCCGCTCATAGTATACATAGAACAAAATCCAACACGTTCGTACATAACTCCAATTTGACATATGATAAGTCCATAGAGCCCTGCGCTGTTGCCGTCCAGTAACAAGACCAGATAGGGATGATCTCCGCCAAAAACATGGTCTGTAGAAAATTTAAAGTCAAGATTCAATATCATAGTTCGCCCGGAGAACACCGGCAGGTCCGTGACATCGGGTACATTATGATAAGGAAATTCTGGATCTGACTTGAATCCTGCTCGGATGGGCAGTACAGCCCCTTGTATGGTGAGTATCGCGTTTTCGATGTATCCAATCTCTTCTGGTCCCACTGGTGTGTAACTGAAGTCCACTATTTTACGCCTTTCAGTATGAACTCGGTGGTGAGGTACATAACTCCACGCGTGGAAGCCCAGGACCAGGTTGGCAATGTCGATTCCTTGTAGGGTTGACGGATTCCTTTCCACTGTAAATCAGGAAGCAAGGTGTTCCGCCACATACCTGCAAGATAGATATCGGTAGGCCGCAGTTCCGCCATACGCTGTGCCAGTGCTGAAATCGCAGGCAGCCTATCGCTTTGATGGGTCAAATTCAGATCTGAATACTGCTCTACGGTACTATGCCATGCGATTTCTAAGTCGGTTGATTTTGCGGCACCAGACGAGAAGAAGAAAGGCAGGAGGTTGATGGCATCAGCGCCTAGAATGGATTCCCGTTTTTTCTCCTCATGCTCTACTCGTGTTGTGCGGCAATCCCAAACAATCTCATAGCAACTGAAGCGCAACATCCGTGGCGAAAGCTGGCCTTCTTGGAACGCCCAAGCACGTAGCAGCAGTGGTCAAGTCGTGCGATTGCGAGTCCCATATAACATACAGCTGTCCTTACTGATACATTCTCGTACAAAAATGTCGGAGGTTCCGAGCCTCACAGGCTTGGACTCCTCTCTGAAGGGTCGAAGACCCTCGTCACTATTGTCAGCACCAGTTGCAGCTATCGTGAAGAAAGCATTCTCATACATGTTTGCCATAGTGGTCGCTGCTTCCATCCAATCAGCCTCGTTCCCTTGAATGATGCCTGCAAGGCGTTTAGCGGTCTTCTATCGTAGTTTGGGGTCTAACATACAGAGCGCATCAATCCACAGGAATCGAATGCCCATTTTCAGGCATACTTTTGCGGCTTCGGAGAAAGTTCGAGGGACTGTGTCCAAGTCAACACCTTGTCGTAGGTCGCTCTCAGTTGCGCTTGTTAGTTGAAGAGTCGGGCCTTCGGGGCCCCAGCAATGACTCAAACAAACATATCACTCCACTGAAAGGAACGAGGCAGTGTCTCGTAAAGTCATAGTTGTCTGATTCAGTTCGAGGCATCTCTTGGGAAGCTTGCTCGGGATGTTTGTGCAGTATTTGTGGTGCGCTAAACAACGCTCCAGAGACTTGATGTTCTCTTGTAGCGCATCATCAGAAGTGGCGTCTTCAAACCATAACGGTTTACTAAAAAGGTTCTATTGTCCTATGAGGCTTCCCAGCATGCCGGTTGAACTGCTGTCTTCACTTTATTAGAACTCAAATGCTACGGTAAAGTCGCATGATCGATTTGTGAGACATGTACGTTTCGCACTCAGCAATTCCAGCATAACGTCATTCGATGAAAAAGATGCATACTCTCTCGTCAATCGTACGTCCATATTGGTCACCGGATCGTCGGATGAAATGTTGCTGACAACTATGTAGCTATTACTATCTTCGCGGTTGTCTCTTTTCCACGCTGTGACCATTTTGAATACTATTGCACATCGCTGGCAGCCTTGATCGCTTGCTTCACGAAAAACAGTGATCTAAGCTTCCAATTGCTTATACCTGGACTTCGGTGTTTCGCCAGGGGTGTGGGACTTGAGCTCGAAGAAGGCACCTCCCGTCTTTGACCGCTTGCAACAGATGCATGTGCTAGAGTCCGCGGAGTTTTTGGCTTTCTCTAATTTATTCATTATGGGAAGCGAAGTTGGTGTACAGATTGATAGAAAATGGTCAGTGTTTGTTTGTGGGTGGTGTAACCTAGATACGATGCAGTCCTGGCGGGGTACTCTATTGAATTCCTCCGTCGAAACAAGATAGGAGATGCAAATGCACAGTGACGCAGCCAAATTGTCAGTTTAGCCGCGCGACGCTCAGCTAAGGTTCAAAGACACGCTCGTGTCGTCTAAAAGTCAGCATTATCAATGACTGTATGAAGAGCAAGGGAAGACATAGCGAAAAAACTAAAGCCCAAGGCGTTGATGGCATTTGTGCAGTATCGATTAGCTATTAATTTCAACAAAGCCAGAGACATATTATTGCGCGGTCTATTCGCCTCTATAGCCTAACAGAGCTTGAAATTATAATGCAGTTGCTCTCCCTAAAGATGATCAGTATATCTAAACCCTGAAGGGTAGGCTCAACCAACTTTGCACATACTACGTAAAGGCAGGGCTAAAGCAATATGCGCCAAGGTTCTCTTTGTACCTAGATCTTTATCCGACTCCCCTCGAAGCAAAGTTGAAACATTTATAAGTCTAGACTCTTTCGACACAGAGTTGTGATCGATTTCCGTTTGCTTATTCCGAGGAGGGAGGATGGGGTTGGCAGCCTGCCCTCGGAGACAACGCACTAAACCCGAAGAATCCATTGGGACCACGAGAACCGGTGTCCCAATCTGGCAGCAAACCTTGCAAGGCAACTGCAACAGTACGTTACCTTGTTTCCCTCCGCTTCGTGTTTTCCACCCATCCTACCTGTTACTATTTGCTAATACACAACCCAGAACTCCTAAGCAATGTGATGACAAACGCAGAATACTTCAACGATCACAGAGCACCCACTGAGGACAACCCATCCTGAATCCCCTGGGACGCAGCAGGATGGAATCGAGACAAGGAATTCAGGGAACACGGAGATCCGGGCTGCCAGCGCCTGACGCAATATGCAGGCACTCGACCTTCGACACGGCGAGAACAGCGCAGACGACCACAGGGACTGGTATCACAAAAGGAACTTGGCACTGATCCTCGTCAACGCAAACGCAAACAACGTCAACTTCCCCGGTAGCAACTTCGCCTCTGGATCTATCCCCAATACTAACACCACTACGCACTTGGCGGTCAATCACCTAGATAGTCGTACTCGCCCGTCCTCCGAGACGCCGCTGTCGCCACTTAGAGCCTTAGTTAACGCAAACCGCATCAATCCAGAGATAGGCTATTGGGCCTCGTGTAAAAAAAGACAGCTTGGCTAAAGACAGTGCAAGCAAAAAAGCAAAAACATACATACGACAGCGGGGATTCGCTAGTGGTCACCCACCTAACTACTAATCCGCCGATTTCAAGCTTGTATAGGCCAGATCGAACGGGATGGCTAAATTTCTTGAATCTATGATCGTATGTGCCATAATAATCAAGATAGGTTCATCAGATGCGTGGATAATCGGTATTTGTGGACGAGAATTCTCGAAAGCGCCCACGTGATGTTATCGATATACCAAAAGCTTGGCACTATCCCACGGATAGAACATGACTACTCCCACTTTTGCCTTCGCTGGAGAGGCTCCAACTAAGGAGCTAGCAAACAAGTAGTATCCAAGTTTTACTTTCACGCAGACCTCTAGTGATTTAATAATGTGGGTGTAGAGGTAGTTTTCTGCAATCATATGGATCCAATGACATTGCACAACCATTCGCCTACCTAGGCGTACATGGACAAACTAGATTTAACATTGATTTTCAAGAAAAAAGAGTAGAGCGGCATGACTATTTCAGTGGGAAAAAAGCATCATTCATTATCGAGCGGTTCAAGATCATAGTAATACGTGAACCTCGTACTAACCAGGGTATTCGCATCTCCCCAACCATCCATTCATCTATCCCGTATGAGAAAAACACATCCTCAAACAATAGCCTCAGGCCTCTCGACCCTCCTCTTCGCCGTACCCAGCCCAGCATGTCCCCTCTCTTGATTCTTTCCCAGCCAAGGCTTCAGCGCCTCGCCGACCGAGCTCTGTCTCAGGAAATAGATAACCTGGCCGATGATAATCAAGACAAACGCAATCGGGTACATCCAGTGAATCTTGAGCCCAAACACCTTGACACCAATAGCCACACCCCAGAAACTTCCTGTAAGCAGGGAAATGTTGAAAAAGGCGGCAGAACTCATGCGGAACAGAACGGGAGCAAGCGAGTAGAAGAGGGAGAGGATGAGTGTGTAGCCCACAATGTAGCCGGCGACATCTGCGTTCCACGTGGCGGTGCGAAAGGCATCGCGGTCGAAAATGCCAGCCTGCGTGCCGTTGATCAACATGCCCCAGAAAGCCAATTGGCCAACGACTTCGTAAAGAGGCCGTTCAGAAACGAGCCATTCCTCGAACACATTAGAGAGACCATAGAATGTGGCGCCTAGGAGAGCAAACAAGTCGCCTTTGACTTGATCGGTAGCGCCAAAGTTGTTGCTGCCTGTGATGTGGTCTGAGCCGAAGATCACGCCTAGGCCGCCGATGCAGAGAAGGATACCGAAGATTTGGGTGTAATGGTAGCGCACTTTGAGGAAGAAGAAGGAGATGATGACGACGACGGCGATGGCCCAAAAGTTGATTAGCTGGGCACTGAGAATAGTAGTCTGCAGGTGTGTTAGAGATTGCTCGTGAATGAACGCAAGCGAGTACGACTTACATAGCGGTACGCCAGGACAACAAAGTAGTTACCCTCGACGTCCATGAAAGCTAAAATGAAGAAGCGCCATCCATCTTTTACAACGAGACGGACCCATTTTTTGAAACCGTACTTGTACAGGGTATATGAGGTGTAGATGATGTTGAGTAGGACGTAGTTAAAGAAGGTCTGGAACGCGGGAATCGAAGTGCCCTCTGCCGAGAGCAAAGAAGAGAAGGTGTTCGTCGAGGTAATGCAAATGGCAAGGACTGCGTGTTCTTGGTTAGCAGTGCTACATTGGAGTAGGTCGACATGGATACATACCCTGCCCAATCACTAGCGTTACCCAGAACTGCTTCGTCTTGATGTACTGGAACCAGCGTCCCTTTGTCTGCGCATCGCGTTCCAAGATTTCGTTGGCTGGCGCGACGCTATGCGACTCGTTTTCAGACGTCACATAGTGGCCGGCGCCTGTCTTGTGCACTGACTGGGGATCGTAGTGCTGCTGGTGCGCATCCTGGACAACAACACCCTCAGCGGGGTGGACTTGGACTTGGTTCATGACGCTAGGCCTATGGGCGATCAAGGTCGAGTACTAGACGAGGATGATAATCTGTGGGAGCTTTTCGGATTTGACGTGAGCGCAAAACCCCAAAGTCGCTCACGAGAGGTGTACAAGGCGTACGGTTGCTTGGAGAAGGGCTATAGCCAGGACGAGGGGCCGGTCACATTATAAGCCAGACTTTTGGGTTCTCGCTCACCCAGTCGCGTCGCGCGCTCCACCCACCATGGAGCGGTGGATTGAAAAAAAGGCGTTCTTGGCCGGGATCCAGAGCATGGAACCCCCACTTACCCTTGCCTCTGTGGGGCAAAACCTCGGAGACTAAGCTCGCAGCGGGTGGACATGGACCGTGTGGGAGCTGAGGACGTGGTTGACGCGGTAGAGACCTGGGGCACTAGGGTAGGCGAGGTCCGATGCTCGCTTTTTCCTTCCTCTCTCTCTATCTGGGTGCCGCTACATATCTTGCATGGCAGAGGCCAGAGGGTGGGTGGTGGAGGAGTGTCAGTGGAAGAGCATAAGAAGCTACAAGCCGTGAGTGGCAGGGTGCAAGCGAAGATTGATCATAGAGTGGGGGGCGGGCATGCAGGTGCGCGCCATGTTCTCGTTGACTAGCTGTAGCACGGGCTGTGGGCTCGGATGGCGTTTCTACACATGCACGCAGAGACTTCGCCGTGTGCCCAGCGTGGGCCCGAGCACCTGGTGGAAGGAATTGACTACGGCATAGTAGTGGGGCACAGGTGCACTCAAGTAGGTACACATGTAAGTAGATGGCAATGCACGGTCATGAAGCGAAGTCTTGCAAAAATCAGGGTTTTCTTCTTCTAATGATTGGCTAGGTAGAGTAGAGTATAAAGTAGAGAGAGAATAGAGTATCGTCTTTAACTAAAACCAAGCGATACCAAACTAGGAACAAGCCGACACAAAAAGCAACGCAGAGGTAGAGACATTTGGCGGTCGGCTGATCTACAGACTCTCACCACGCACGGTTGTCAGCATAACCGTTCTAGTCAGAGTCCTCCTCCTCACTCTCTTCCTGCTCAAGCCAATTCTTGAACTGCTCGGCCGACTTACGAACAGTCTTGCTGACCTTGAGGTCAACATACCTCTTGCTGGCCTTGGAGCACCAAGTCTGAAGCTGCTCCTCAGACACGAGGTCGTTCTCGTACACCTTGAGCAGGATGGCAGATACCTGTGGGATGAGCTCAGGCTTTTCAATGCCCACAAAGCGCTCGATACCGCCAAGGAAAGCCTTCTCGTGCTTGTCAGACGTGATCATCTTCTTGAGCATCGGAGCACGGGCGTCAATCTGCTTGACAATCTTCTCCGTGAACAGAGTCTGGGGGATGACAGTAAGGGTGCGGTGCTTGGTCTCGATACCGAGTTCCTTGGCCTTGATGTAGATGTCGACGTTGTCGAGATTCTCTACGCCGCCCTTCTCTGCGCCCGTGTCGATGATCCACTTGCCAAAAGTGTCGTAGTTGGAGCCACCCTCTTCGTCCTCCTCAATGACAAGAGCACGCTTGAGGTCGTCGGGGAGATCCTGGGCACGGGCCCTGATGGCCGCCTCAGATGTGTCAATGGACCACTCGACCTCCTTGGCATCCTCCTCCTCAATCTCCTTGGCGCCCTCGTTGATCTGGCGAGTGAGCTCGTCATCACTGCCAGCCTCGAGGGCAAGGTCGCCGTCGTCGCCATTCTCCTCTGCGCTGTCACCGGGACTGCCGTTGTCGGGCGAGCCAGCCTCGCCACGAGCCTCGGCCTCCTTGCGGGCACGGCGCTCAGCCTTCTTGCTAGACTTGTCCTTCTTGCCCTTCTTGGGCTCGTTCTTGAGAATGAAAGAGCTAAGCTTGAGACGAGGGTCAACTTCGGAAATCTTTCCGCACGCCTTGCAGTCGAGCGTGATGTTGCCATCCTTGATGTGGACATCGGTTTCGGGGTTCTTGCATTTCTTGCAGAGGACGAACTTGGAGATGAAGCCGTCAAGGTAGTCCTGCAGCTTGCTGGCGTCGTGGGCGCCGTTGATGATCCAGCGGTCGTCGTTGGGGCTAGTGTTTGTCTGGGCTCCAAGTTCGAAACCAAAGTACTTGATGACGTGAGCAGGGGGACGGGCGAGCGAGCCAGCGACGCTGGTCAGGTTGACAATGACAGTCTTGATGCCGTTACCCTTGCCCTCAATCTTGGATTGGATACGCTCCATCTTGTAGCGGTAGAAGGGGTCGGTGACATCGCGGCGAATGTTGACGGTGGCCATGGTGACGGTGGTGCGGGGAACAGAAGGGTAAGATTGTTACTGGTAGTGCAGCGTGCGGACAAACAAGGTCGGGTCGGGTATGTTGACGAGGGCCGAAAGAGACATGCGCAAATGCAGGCTCTGGGGTAGTAGGGGTGGTAGACAGGTGTGACTCGGGGTCAAGAGGGGCAGTGGATTAGCCGTTGGTCTGGTGTATAGTACTGCTTGGTATCCGCATACAGCGAAATTTTTGCAGTTTGGGGGGAGGTTCGACTCGGAAGGCGTAACGTTGGCGCGAATACATATACTCCTGATGTCGCTGGCAACTCTGAGGAGCGGGTTGTGCGTGTGGCCTCGAGGCGTGGGGTGGTGGTGGTGGCGGCTAGGGCAAGTCGCGGGAGGGCGACAAGCAGGCGGGTGAGGGGGGTTTGAGAGTGTTGTGCTCTTGATGCCCGTGGAGAGGCAGTGGCGTGGATTGTTGGATGCGGTGGATGGATTTTTGGACGGTGCAGAGGGTGAGTGTGCGTGTGGGAGCGAGTCGTGGGTGGTCAAGAGAAGTTATATGGGGACGGCGGAGGTTAGTTTTTCGACTTTGCCGAGCCACACTAGCACAATCCGCCCTACCAAACCGCCCACACCCCTCCCGACGCCCGCAGCCTTGCATTGCACGGTTTTTTTTTCTGCATGTTCACGCGGGTGCCAGGCATTGATCCTGCAGGACAGGTGTGTTTGCCGCCATAGCAAGAGGTGGCCAGCTGTCGTGTATACTACACACATAAGAGTATGGAGGCAGTCATCCGACACGCCGCCGTTGGGGCCAAACGAGAAAGCAGACCACATTGCCAGGCATTGTTTCAGCAAGCCGCTCCTGCATGAAGCCGGCCGACAGCGACAAAGGCGCCTACACCTACACCTAGTCTGCCGCTCAAACAATCTCTGCCTCTGCAGCCTGGTTGCTGACCACCAGCACAAGCAGCGGATCGTGGTGGCGAAGAGAACACGTTTCCAAGCCACGTTTCTCCACTCTCAAACATCAACCATGGCCGGCCAGAATTCAGTGATAGCAGCCGACACACGTGTATGTAGCCTGTATTCACTCATGCCTTACATATAGGCTGCGAGGCCCGTTGCCAATCATTGTCGACATGTGCTTTTTCTAACGAGGGGCACCGTAGTTGGGCCCCGCACAGCAATCTCAGAGCACTGCACACACACACACAGACACCTGCACCCGCACAAATACCGTGCACGTACCTACATGGCAAACGTGTACTGCTGAAGCCATTGTTGCTTCTTCCCCAGCCAATTGAAGGCCTGCGCCGAACCCGTCTCGATTGCGTCATCTCCGATAGCGTCTTCCAACGTCTTGACCTTGCATGCTGGGGGTCACATTCGTTTTGGAGTCCCCCAACGTACGCAAAACGGAAAAGATGAGCGGCCAAAAAGTAGACTACAGATTATATCTCGTGACTGACTCCACAGAAGCCATTCTCGGCTCCCGCAACTTGGTGGATGTTGTTGAACACGCTTTACTCGGCGGTGTCACCATTGTCCAGTACAGAGACAAGACCTCTGACACCGGCCTCCTCATCTCGACAGCAAAAGCCCTGCATGAAAAATGCAGAGCACACGGCATCCCCCTTGTTATAAACGACCGTGTTGACGTCGCATTGGCTGTCGGTTGTGAGGGTGTACATCTGGGGCAGGATGACATGAACGTAGTCGAAGCCCGCCGTATCCTGGGCAAAGACAAGATCATCGGCGCCACCGTCTCTTCCATCCAAGAGGCCCGGGTTGCCGTTGAACAAGGAGCAGACTATTTAGGCATTGGCACTCTATACGCCACAAACACAAAGAAGAACACCAAGGAAATAATCGGCATTCCTGGTATCCGCAAGATACTGAGATACCTTGACCAAGGGAGTGAGGCAGAGAAGATCGTCAAGACAGTGTGCATAGGTGGAGTGAACGCCTCGAATGTGCAGCGCGTAACTCACCAACTTCTCGCCCCAACGCCTATCCAACCCAACCCCAAAACCATTGACGGCGTTGCGGTAGTATCAGCCATAGTCGGAGCCTCTGACCCCAAAGCTGCCTCGCAAAACCTATTGAAGCTTCTCAAATCCCCACCACCGTTCAAACTCAAGTCGACCGAGCCACACTTTTGGCACGAGAAGGATGAAGACGAAATTACGTCTCTCCTAGCCCAAGCGGTCAAAGGCACACAAAGGGTCAAGCAGCTAGGTCCATTATCCCACAACATGACCAACCTGGTTGTCCAAAACTTTGCCGCCAACGTCGCCCTCTCCATTGGCGCCTCGCCTATCATGGCAAACTACGGCGAGGAAGCCCACGACCTATCCCAGCTCGGCGGTGCCTTGGTCGTGAATATGGGCACCGTCACTCCTGACGGCATCCTCAACTACCAAAAAGCCATATTCGCATACAACGCCGCCGGCAGCCCCATTGTTCTCGATCCCGTAGGCGCAGGCGCAACATCCGTCCGACGCGCTGCCCTCTCCACCCTCATGGGCACCGGCTACTTCGACTTGATCAAAGGAAACGAAAAGGAGATTTTAGCTGTAGCGCGTGCATCCGGGTACACGATGACGGATAGCTCGCAGCAACGCGGTGTAGACAGCGGCACCTCGCTCTTCTCTCTAGCCCAAAAAGCATATCTAGTCCAGCGCCTTGCGGCTCGCGAGCGCAACCTCGTCCTCATGACAGGCGTGACGGACGTGGTGTCCGACGGCATACGCACATATGCCATTGCAAATGGACACGAGTATCTCGGTCGCATCACGGGCAGTGGGTGTACACTGGGTACCACGCTATCCGCCTACCTCGCTGCTAACCCCGAGGATAAACTTCATGCTGCTGTAGCTGCCATTTTGCATTACGAAATTGCGGCTCAGACTGCTGCTGAGCGACACGATGTCAGTGGCCCTGGCACATTTGTGCCTGCGTTTTTGGATGAGCTGTGGAATTTTGGCGAGGCCGTTGTAAAAGATGGGGGCGACGCCTTGCTGCGGGAAAAGGCAAAGGTGCAATGTCTCAAGGATATACCGGATGCGGGGTTGTTGAAGGACTTGTGAGGAAAAGTAAAGGGTGGTTTGGATATCCTGTTTGAGGAAAAAAGCACAAGGAATAAAAGTGTTGATTACTGAGGCACCTTTTGTTCCCCCTCTCTTCTCAAGATTCCCTCATCATAAAGTAGAATGAAAGAGAAGGAGAAAAAACGCCAAAAACACTGCTCTCGTAAAACTGGATTCTTCGCATAATCTTGACTTCGTACACTTAGACAATTGGTAGCTAAACTCCCTCGCAACACCCAGACCTAGACGTTTAAAAAACTACCTCGCCTTCCTATACCTCCCCTGACTCATCTCTGCTTTCAATGCATCCTGCTGATCCGGTAATGGTGCTCTCTTCCTTACCAGGCCATCATTGCCTCCTGCACCACTTTGCCCACCTCCACCCCCAAATCCTTGCTGCTGCTGCGGTTGTTGTTGCTGTTGCTGCGGCTGTTGCACCGGAAGTTGACCAGGCCACCCTGGCGGCGGCGCAGCACTGCCCAATCCACCAGGAGGCGGTGGAGGCGGAAAGCCAGGGAAACCAGGAGGAGGCATGCCATGGGGAAGAGGCGGCATACCCGGCGGCATTCCTTGGGGGAAACCAGGGAAATTCGGGGGTGGAGGAAACGGAGGAGCAGTAGCGTTTCCGCCATGAGGTGGAGGCGGACCGTGGCCGTGAGGGAGCGGAGGGGGCGGCAGAGAGCCAGAGGCAATGAGTTGAGCAATGTGAGATGGGTCCATGCCTGAGAAGGGAGGAGGAATGGGTGCGCCGCTTGCGTTTGGTTGGGGCGGGAAGGGCATTCCTGCCGGTGGAGGTGGTGGCGGAGGATGAATAGAATGTTGGCTTGCACCACCAATACCTGGGAGAGCACTTGAAGTGCCATCTGGTGGTGCAGAGAGTCCTGGGAGTGAGAGACCTGGGGGAAGGAAGGGCGCACCGGCCATGTTCCTAGACGGGAGTTTCTGGTCAACCAGGCCTTCTGCTTCATCCTCTGCTTCCTGTTCTTCTTCTTCCATCTTCTGTCGTCGGCCTTGGCTGCGGTCAAAGGTACCCTGAGCTTCTGCTGCGGCTTGGCCAATATGGTACCGGTCGTTGATGTAGTTTGTATCGCCAGGCCGGGGGCGTGTCCAGAAACGAGTGACGCGGTCATTGGAGCCAGAGGCGAGGATGTGGCCGAGCGGATGCCAGTCCATGGTCCAGACCGTAAAGTCGTGAGCGTATTGCAGGCTGTGTGCAGGATATATGGTTTGCGAAGGAGCGTTTTGTGAGTCTGCAGCGTCGTAGGGTGATATGGACGGCGCTACACCTGGGGGAGGGTTTTGCTCGTCGAGAAGGTAATGATGAATGCTGCCATCTACACCTCCCGTAGACAACAGGTTCTTGTGCATGGGGTGCCACGCCATTGTAATGATATCTTTCTCGTGGCCCTTGAGCAGTAAGACATCGCGCATCATTCGGATATCAAAGATGCGGGCGGTGTGATCACGAGCGCAGGTTGCTAGCATGTTTCCTTGGACAGGCTCGAACATGGTTTTTGATATTGGGTTTTTATGTCCATGAAGTGTCGTCAGACAGCGGCCTGTCCGCGGATCCCAGAACTTGACCTGGTGATCCTTTGATCCCGAAACTAGCAGCCCCTTGTGCGGATGCCAGTCGACCGATTTGACTTCCCATCCATGCCCTGTCAGCGTCGACTCTTCGGTACTTGACGCAAAGTCCCAGATCTTCAGTGTGGTATCGTCGGCGCATGTGACAAACTTGGAGTCAGTGGGGGCTATGGCGAGTCCCCGCACAGCCTCTGTGTGCGCCTGTATCTCCTTGACGTTATTAAAGTTGGTCTGCCAATACTTGACGACTCCGGTCTGGTCGGCAGACAGCAGCCAGTCGTCGGTAGAAGTGTACTCGACAGCACGAATGGCCGCCTCGTGAGCCTGCATAATGGTCTCAAAGTTGAAGCCCATGCCATTCCATAGCGTGAACTCGCCGCTGGTCGAGCCTGTGAGTAGGCGCCGCCCCTCTGGCGTCCACTTGACTACGTTGATGGGGTGCTTTACTTTGTTGAGCGACGAATGTACCGCCTTTGCAGGTATGGATTCGGCAGCACTGGCGATGCGCGCTGCAGGAGGCTGCATATCGACAATGTAGCTTGCACTCGGCCGCTCTACCTCTGGCCTGGGGACGTTCTTGTACCGTGGGCGCCGATTGCGCATCCATTGCACCGTTGTTGAGCCATAGTCAGTGACGGCACCTGCAGACTCGAGTCAGCTCCGAAGGCCAATAATTGCCATGTCGCGAGTACGACACAGAAAGTGAAATACATGATGAATGGAAAGAGAATCGACTGGGATTGGGGGTCAGGCATGCGCAGTAGTGATACTCACGTTTCGGTCGGGGACGCAGGCCGCCTTCGAATTCGGGGCGATGGTACTCGCGCTCCATGCTGGCTGCTGCTGCCAGACAACCTTGCCTAGCTGGTGCGCATGGGCAAAGGGATCACAGCAAAGAGCAGCGACAAGGAAACGAGGGGATTGGTAGCGATGGGCCAGCTGCGGTTGTATGTGGAGCGCAAGAAGAGTATGTACGCACGTAGCAGCAGTACAGTGCAGCGCGTGCTTTGTCGCGTCCTACGTCCGCCAAGCCACAGAGCCACAGAGCCACAAGTTACAAGCCACATTGCGCCACACGAGGCGCGTACATGGGGGCAAGCCACCGTCCAACGGCTTTGTCCATGTACTACCAAGAACTAATCCCCTCCGTACTAGGATGTGGGCGAGGTGCATCACCGTGCAGACCCCCCGCTTGGCCAACTCCCAACAGAAATTCAGACGGGCCTTCGTATCTCTCAGCAGCCCAGAATGCAGAGACCGAGGGTGGCCGTCATGGCGGGCTTGTCCCAGCTGCTGAGCATACAAATCCACCTCGCTCGCCACAACCCACGCTCAAACAAGCCTCTTCCCGCCCTTGTGCTTGCCGCACCTTTCCACAAGCCCCAGTCGCTACTACCACCCTGAGCCATTGCGCTCTGGGCACAAGTCGCCTTGCCTTATATACTACTACTAATAAGTCGCCTTGCCCTCCCATCATGACGACAATTACCCAGATGGCCTCCTCTTCTGCCATTGACGCCTCTCCTTTCCCCCCTGCCGCCAACACTGCCGTCTTCCGGGGAAAGGACGCCTCCGAATCCGCGACTCCTACTGCGACCACCACAATTACCACCACCAACAAAACCACCAAACTCGCCCGCGACACAAAATATCGCCATGTTTTCGCCACACACTCCCTGACGCGCACCTCGTGCCTGAGCCACGATGCAGACAAGACCCCTAGTTTTGTTGGCTTCAGGAATCTCATGATCCTGGTGCTCAGTACGCATTCCCAAACTCCAACCACCCTCGCCCATGGCTAACAGGACTAGTCGTGTCCAACTTGCGATTGATGATTGTGAACCTACAAAAGGTGCGTCTTCGCTATCCATTCGTCTTTGGCCATGCTAACCTGACCAGTATGGTGTCCTTATATGCCTCTCCTGTCACGACTACAGCCGCTCCGACGTCATCACCGGCCTGCTCCTGTACCTCCTCGTTCCTGCCCACCTGTTCGTCACATACCTCATCGAACTGGCCGCCGCCTGGCAGGCCAACCGAGCGCACGCCCGCATCGCCGGGGAGCATGACAACGATTGTCCCGCCAGGTACGCAGCAGCACTGCGCAGCTTCAACTTGACCTGGTACATGATAGCCTTCTTCCACAGCGTTAATGCTGTCGCAAATCTCTACATTGCCACAAAGTATGTCTACTACGACATCTACCATCCGGGAATCGGAACGCTATGCGAGATGCACGCCGTCATCGTCTTCTTGAAGTGCGCTTCATACGCACTCACGAACCGCGACCTGCGCCATGCCTACCTCCACCCAAAACAGGCTGATCCGCTTCCCGAGCTATACAATACGTGCCCATACCCGCAAAACATCAACATGAAGAATCTCTGCTACTTTTGGTGGGCCCCGACTCTTGTCTATCAGCCTGTTTATCCTCGAACAGACAAAGTACGCTGGGACTTTGTCTTCAAGCGATTGCTCGAGGTGGCGGGCCTCAGCATCGTCATCTGGATTGCCTCGGCTCAATACGCTGCGCCACTGCTGCAAAACTCCCTCGACAAGGTCCTTACCCTCAACTTCACCTCTATTGTCGAGCGCGTTATGAAGCTCTCCACCATCTCCGTATTTTGCTGGCTCTGCGGCTTCTTTGCTCTTTTCCAGTCGGCGCTTAATGCCCTTGCCGAAGTAATGCGTTTTGGCGACAGGGAATTCTATGGTGACTGGTGGAATGTGTCGTCTATTCGCACCTACTGGACAACCTGGAACAAGCCGGTGACAAATTTCATGCGTCGGCACATTTACTCTCCTTTAGTTGGTCGTGGCATCCCTCCTCCCGTGGCTCAGATTCTCGTCTTCTTCTTTTCCGGTGTACTTCATGAGTTGCTTGTCGGAGTGCCCACGCATAACATTATTGGTGTAGCATTTGCGGGCATGATGATCCAAATTCCACTCATTGCGCTCACCGACGTCATTCAGAAGATTAGATGTATTCAAGGCAAGGTCGCAGGCAATATGATCTTCTGGGTCAGTTTTTGTCTTGTGGGACAGCCGCTCGCCGCCTTGCTTTATTTCTTTGCATGGCAGGCCAAGTATGGGAGTGTGAGCCGACAAGTAAGCGATAGTCCCATTAACATGTTCTATCGGCGGTAAATACATTGCGTGATAATTTCCATCGTTTCTCACACTTCCTTTTTGTAAGGATGACATCGCTTCTTTTCTTGCCAGTTGTTCACATATTATTGATCATCTTGACAATCAACTTTTTACTTCACTCTGCTTCTGACCTGAAAACGTGAATCAAATTGCGCACCTCATACTTCGTCCAGACTCTCCTTGATTTTTCCCAGCACCCGCAACACCTCCTTCTCCACCACTCTTTCCATTCTCTCAACCCACAAGCCATGAATGCCCTTGCTCTTTGCCACATGCAAAAACTTACCCAGCGCCACCATCACATCACCCTTGGTCTTCGCATCACTCCACCCCATGACTACCTCGGCCCCGCAAAAGACTCGCATCCCTAGCGTAAACACTTCGGCTTTCGAACTCCATCCTAACGCCCCATCTTCTTCCTTCGTCGCAGTTTCTGTGAGCACAGCCAGGCCATCCGCCACCCATTTCGCTAGTCCTGACTTCAACGTCAAAGAGATAGACGAGGCAGGCAGGCGAAGTAATACACGCGACCAAAGTACCACATCCAAAACATCATCCTTGTACAGATTCTGCTTCTCTTGCGCAAACAACGCCATGTCTTCTTGCCTCTCCCGCGCAAATGTCTCCGCAAAAGGCGTGGAGAAGAGTACTTCTCCCGTGGTAGTAGTATTTGCCAGACGATGTAGAGCCTGAGTAGCCAGGACGCCTCCTGATGTTGAGTGAAAAGTATGACATGTAAACAGTGCTAGACGATAGCTGCTTAGTATCGGCACGGTGTCTTTGCATAACGACGTCGTATACCCCTGGGCGCGAAGCAAATTTCCCGTTGTGCGCGCCGCTAGATCACGGATTTCGTCGTCGTCGTCATTGAGGAGGTCATAGAGAACCAGGCTGAGACTCAGGAGTAAAGCGCGTCCCGCGTTTGATATGGGGCGTGCGGCCAGAGTGGAGTGTAGTGCGTGCAGAGACTGTACTGCAGCGAAGCGTGTGTCAAAGGGATTCGTGTCAATGATTGTCCTGCGAAGAAGACGGATCCATCGTGCAATTGCGGATATGATGTCTTTGCGCTGCTCGGGTAGAGAAGCGTATGCGTGGTCGAGGAAGAAAGCGACAAGGTGCAAGCCGCTTTGCATGTTTGATGGCGGGCCCCCAAGACACTGGGATTCGAGCTTGGCCAAGGCGAGAATGATTTGGTCTTGTGTAGTGAGAGAGAAAAAGTTGTGGCGGAGGTGTTGGTTGTTTGTGAGGGCCGAGGCAAGTACAGATTGGGCGGCTGAGATTACTTCTGCATCTGTGGCTTCGAGGATGACACGGTGGATGTGGCATAGTACCAAGGAGAGTGGAATTGTCAAGTCTTCAAATGGCGTAGACTTCATTATAGTGTCTAGTGTGCGTAGAGCGGTTAGACAAGTATCAGGGTCTTGAGTTGCGAGGAGCATCAGAGCGTCACCAATGCTCTGATATTCGTCTGAGACCATGATGCCAAGGGAAGTTTCCCGCATGATTACGCGGTCGATGATGAAAACTTGAGCCAAGGAACTGCGAAATAGATCGTCTCCGTGGTGCTGACTAGGTCCGATATTGAATTCAGGACCAATGGAGACGGACCCGGCAAGGTCAGCCCAGCTATTCAGCACCGAGACTGCATTCGCCTGGCGGAGCATACTCATACCACACAAACCGACAACATCTAGGAAGGCGGATTTGACAAATAGACAATTGCTCGAGGCGTACCATATGGGTGCACTTCTGCAAATCTGTTGCATCATACTTGCGACACAGTCTAGGGCTGTGGATGGTTAGTTTGATTGAATGACTGAATGCAAGAGAAAACCCACTACATTGGCTCGAGTTGCGAAGGATCTTCTTTAACAAATACTTCACCACCAGAAGCATTCCATGCTGTCCATTGTGGCTGGCAGGGGCATTGTCCAGGATTGGACCAAGGGCCTCAACCCCCTCATTTGGGGAACACAGCGACACATAAGTTCTTGCGGCCATGTCTCGCATGTGCCAATGTGGGCTTGGAATAAGCTCCTTTACCAATTCCTGCATCTTTGAAATATATTCAGGCGGTGGTCTTGCTTGACGCAGAATCTGGAGAGCTGGAAAGACACCCTCAGCGCCATGAAGATCAAGAGGCGAGCTGCCCGTCTCGGGCGTGTCCATAATCTTTCGGTTGCCATTAGGCCTGAGTAAATCCAGCAATATTGTGACGAGGCTGGGGTAGTTGTCGTAAGAAAAGCGTGATGTCTTTGCCCGATCGCGTTCTTTCCAGTCTTGAGCTTCGTCACTGCCAAGCAACCTCTCTATGAGGGCTTTGAACAGCATTAGACTACAGTTGCGAAGAGGCCATCTATGAAGAAGTCAATATGAGAGCCGAAAGACGATTATATTTTCTTACATAGGTGAGCTGAGTGTTTTTGCGGCCAACTCAAGACCCTGGCCAATGTATGCTTCGGAAGCGATACTGAGTTTGGAGGTGGTAAACATCTCCTTAATGCAATTGAGTGCATGTACTTGCGGAAGACGACTCTCTTCAATGTTTGCGCTTCGCGCTTCGACCAGTGTCTCTGCAGTGAGATCCTTCATCGCCCGAGGGAAGAGGCTGCCGTTGGTCTGTGGCTCCGCAGCCAATAGGGCTGACATGGCCGCTGGTATACCTGCAGATCTCCGAGTGATGGCGTCGGACTTGTCTTGAATAGATCGTAGAGTTTCCTGGTATACGTTAACATGTTTGCTTTGGAAGTTCGCACAGTCTCGTCATGTACCTGGTACCACGCTTCTGGCAATGCGCGAAGAGAGGGAATACTCGATGTTACACAACGACGACAGAAAACTGCAAAGGTCTGCGATACAGTCGAAAAGGCACCTCGGTGCCGCAGCTCTAATAGCTGTGTAAAACATAGCCGCCCTAGCTTTTCGAAGAGCTGCGGTGTTACAAGATCACCGTCTGCATTACCCACAGGGGCCTTTGAAATGATGGTCCTAAGTAAGACACTGCAAGATGTTAATGAAACTCCTCGGTAATCGTCAATTACTCACCTTGCTTCCTTGAGGCCTCTCCATGAGTAGCTCAGAATTTCTTTGGTATCTAAGCTTCCCTCATCTTCCAACTCGTCAGGGATGTGCCCTTCTGGTGCATCTGCACATAGGACGTTGTAAACGAAGTTCCATAGGCTTTCGATACTTTCTACAACATCTCCATGAAGACTTTTCCAATTGGTAAAGGCACCTGGTGACATGCCTGATACAGAAGCATAGAAGTCAGGCTGGTCCACTACATATCGCAATGCCGCAAAGATACCATGTACAGGCCGGCCATCAACAGCCTGCGAAAGGTCCTTGTGTGCTATAGCCAATGTGTCCTTGAGCTGCTTCTGGAGATGCTCAAAGATCTGGAACTTTGTAGAGAAGTAAGATCTCCCTAGAGTTACTTCTTCGTTACCTGCAGAGCTGAAGATCATTCCATAGGCTCGAGCAACACCATCCGCTTGATCAGCTCGTCCGGTTCGGAGCATGATAGTCTCTGCTCGTACGATGAATGGGGGAATTGTAGCCATCACACGGTTTTTATCCAACTCCGGTAAGGCTGATAAGCATAGCTGTAGAACTGACACGGCCGCATCGCGAACGTCATCAAAGGGGTCCAATATCAGATCCAGTAGTGTTCGCACCAGCTTTTTGTTTCCAATCTGAATTCCATGGGCCCAGTTCAACTGCCCTTGCGCTGACTTCGAGAGACTATTGTATGGAACACCAGGATCCACGCCTGAACGTAGTACAATAACAAGAGATCTAAGGGCTGTAATACGACTCTGATAGGATGCGGTGGGGCGCAGCTCCCACTCGAGAAACCGTATGTACCAGACAACAAAGGAAAGTGACTCCAGAAGCGAGTCTTGCTGCTTGGAGTGGGAAACGGAGAGACCGGAATCGAATGCTGCTTTTGGAAAAGGCAGTCGCGATTGATCAGCAACTTTGTTTTTCAGCAAACTCTTTGAAAGAGTGGCTGTGCTTGCCCTTAGGCGGTCAAATAACTTCTGTGTATATCCGTGTACCTCTCTTCGAAAGTTGGCGTCTGTATCGGTATGTAGGTGGACGAGGTTACGCTTCAACGCTTGAAAGACGCTGCTGCTGACAATTCTTGTGACAGAGGTTGAATAGACTGAAAGAAACATCCCTGCAAGCCTGACTTCGGGCTCTGGATCAGTCATCCATTTACCTGTGATGTTGTCGGGCAGATAAACAGCGCCATCGCGAATTTCTATGTTATTCTGAACTTTGTGGTCTGAATGGCAAGTAAGTAAATGCCCAAATTCATCAGTACTGCATCACGGTGCCGTCTTCTTACCGTTGTCCTTCACGATGGTGAGTTCTTTACCAGTCGCAATCGCTGCAAGCAAGATTCTGAATTCCATTGGTCCGTCGATATATGGAGTAAATTTGCTAGGCCCCGATAATTCATCCGGTAACACACCATCGTGCGGAACGTATGAACTGAAGTGAAGGTACGATAGAAACTGGGTGTATTCGGCAATGTTTGGTAGGAAACAGTGAGGGAATACATGGGTCTTGAATTCCTGTATCCGATCCGGCCAGTCTCGTAAAGTTTCCGCTACCGGTTCTATCCAAAGCGGTATGTGCTTGCCATTGGCCTCCTGCTTCCAGTAGTCTGGAGAGCTGCGAGCCTTCGTGAGGAAGTTCTTGATCAAATGACCTGCAGATAGGGAGGTGTCATGATGGACGACCCACGCAAGAAAGGACAAAAAGACTGTCTGGGAAGTTGCGACGTCTTCGGCTGCACCAGATGAGTGCTTCGCCTGTTTCCTGAAAAGATCCACCAGCCCCGATACGGATACCACTTCCTTGAGCAAAAAGTGGGCGAGGCCTTGTAAAGCTGGCTTCACTTTGATCCTGTCCTCACGCTCACAGATGATATCCAGAAAACAGACCGTAGCTTTCTCTCGAAGCTCGATCGCACGTAGGCTTTGGTC